TCCCTCCCTCTCCCTCCCTCTCCCTCCTCCCCCTCCAGGGGCAATCAGCAACTGGGCCACATTCTCAGCCCTTTTTAATTTTTTATTTTGAGACAGGGTCTCCCTAAATTGCTGAGGCTCTCTTTGAACTTGCAATAATCTTGCCTCAGCCTCCCAAGCTGCTGGGATTATAGATAGGCACCACTGTACTTGGCCCCCACATTTCTTTTTGATTGGTTATACTAGCAAATGGAAAGCAATGGAGATGTCTCTTTGTGGCAGAGTATAACATATATATAGCTATTTGATGAAAACATTTAATACAAATAAAATGAATTAAGTTTTATCATAGGTCCTGTCCCTTTAAGTTCGTTTATTTATTTTTCAAAAATGACTGTCCTGCCTACTAATTTCTTTCCATTTGTAGTTCATGTACCTCAGGGGAGAATGTTCCTTCAGGTGTATCAATAGAATCAATCTTCTAGAATCATTCCCAAGACAATTTGTTTTCTGGAAAGATGATGATTTTTGTGTTGAGTTATTGAAATACTACTTTAGATTTTATTGAGTGATTATAGACAGTATTATTAATGGAATAATCTATATGTCTGAAACCTCAGGAAAAACTGTTAAGACAAAGCCTCAGCAGGGCTGGAGATGTAGCTCACTTGGTAGAATGCTTGCCTTGCATGCATAAGGCCCTGAGTTTAATCCTTAGCCCAGCAAAATACAAAGACAAAGCCTCAGCAGTGATTAGGAGGAGGGAGGTCAGGGTGGACCACTATTGTAATTATTTGCATTCTATATTAAATCTCATTTAGGTGTCAAATCAAAAATTGTTGTAGTTTACCTATTACTCTCTATAATAACTTTGCATCCTATATTAACATTCAGATTGTTTCATCTATATGTGATTTAGTTGGTACAAGAAGTATTCCAGAATTGAATTTACTTTTGTTATTACATACATTTTGTGTAAGTAATTGCGTTTTCATTGGGAGTAGATCAATCTTTGTGACCCCTATGGCTGGATAAGTGGTATTTGTTTTCATTACTGTGAGCCCAGTGGGAGGACTTCTGGGATTATTTGTTTCCTTTATTAAAAAGGCATAGGCTGGGGTTGTGGCTCAGTGGTAGAGCGCTTGCCTAGCATGTGCAAGGCCCTGGGTTTGATCCTCAGCACCACATAAAAATAAATAAGTAAAATAAAGATATTAAAAAAGATATTAAAAAAACTTATACTGTTCTATCCAAAGATAAAAAACAACCTTAGTGTAGGCATAATGGACACCTATCTCATTTTAATATCTTGTAGAAATATTCATAGATAAAGCACATCTAATGCCTTAATCTATTTGTAGCCTTAATGTAATATCTTATTTTTGTTATTTGAGCATGTTGGAATAACACTCTTTTTTTTTTTTTGGTGGTACTGGGGATTGGAACAAGGGACTTATGCATGTGAGGCAAGCAGTCTACCAACTGAGCTACATCTCTGGCCAGTGAACACTTAGGTTTAAGTAACATTTCTATGAAGTTATATTCTATGCCACTTTTGCATTTCGTTATTCTTTCCTATTTTTCAGGGTAAAGCTTACACTAGAGGGTCCAGAGGAAGATGATGATGATAGGGTGTCTCCCACTCTTCTTCACAAAATGTCCAATACCTTGGAGATATCTTTAATAAGTGACAATGAGTTCAAGTGCAGGCATTCACAGCCAGAGTGTGGTTATGGCTTACAGCCTGATCGCTGGACAGAATATAGCATACAGACAATGGAACCAGATAACCTGGAACTAATCTTTGATTTTTTTGAGGTGAGTAGTTTTAGGGAAGGTGTTGAAAAAGAATGCAAGCATGAGCTTACTGATTTGTGTAAAGCCATGATTTATAAGAACTCTTCAAGTGTTGGCTCCTATATAATTTTAGCAGATTTTAAAAACTCAGGTGACAAATTTTAAGTACTATTAGGAAAATAATTAAGAAAACTGCAGTAGAATTGATGTTTTTAATCAAGACTGGATTTGTTTTTGTCCATGCCTCTTAATCTAAATATAAGTGAAATATATCTAAAGGAGCTTTCAAAGATAAGTTGAGGGCCAGGAAGGCTGTGTGACCCTTGGCAGACAATCTGATGTAATTAGCATTATTGAATCCTCTTCAGGGTAAAAATCTGTCTTTCAATGAGGTGTTTTATTATGAGGATTTGTTGTGATAGTGGACTATGTAATTTTACTCAGTGTTATAAATGTGTAATAAATCTAGTTAGAAAGTTTGTGCTAGATTATGCAGAATCAGTGCTGCCAACTTTCCAAAGCTACTTGTGTTAACTTACACTAAAACTTGTTAGCTCACTAGCTGTTCAGATGCTCTCACAAATAATACCTGGTACCTCCCTAAGATCCTTACTACAGTTTGATATGGTTTAGTGGTTAAGCACCCCTGGGTTCAATCCCCAGTACCCCTCTTTCCCACCTTCCCAATAAAAACCTCTTAAACACCTAACTTTTCATTTGGTTGGCATTTTTAGAAACAGCAGTTTTGTTTTGTTTTTCATAGATAAGGCTGATAAATACTAACTGTAAACAGGCACTTGGTCTCCTTGGGAGTTACTATCCCTAGAGGCCACCATGTGGACATGTTTGTAGAGAACATAATTTACATTATAATTCATTAGAAGTATATCTTGGTCTTTCATTGTGAAGTGTTTAGAGATTTTCAGACTGTGCTTTATATTCACCTAATACATATTAGATCAGAAGTGAAGAAAATATATCATTTAGAACAAAAAAAGCTATCTAAATTACCTGGATATGTTTGATTATTTCTTCCTCATCAGTCTTTCATAGACTATCAGTTGATTTTAAGAGAGTTCTTTGATCATGAATTTAAAACATTTAAGAATTCAGAGTATTTTGTCTGAATCTCATTTTTTCAGGAAGATCTCAGTGAACATGTAGTTCAGGGTGATGCCCTTCCTGGACATGTGGGCACAGCCTGTCTCTTATCATCCACCATTGCAGAGAGTGGGAAGAGTGCTGGAATTCTTACTCTTCCCATCATGAGCAGAAATTCCAGGAAAACAATAGGCAAAGTGAGAGGTAAGTTTAGAAAAATAGGCAAGTCCTGACAAGTAAAGCTAAGGTTAAGTTAGAATTTTTCATTATTTCTAAATTGAGGATTTGAGAATAGTAATGATTAATAATTTACATTATTAACATAAGAATTTAGATTAACTAATATAATAAGAAGTTAAGTATGTTTATTAAATTTTCTACAACTTTGAATCAATTTTGACTTGATTATTTTCTGTTTGATAGAGATTCATTAAACTGGTTTAAGTGCTTTTTAAATGTCATTGAGCTCATAATGAACTTTTTAACCATTTTTCTTTATCCCTCCCTCTTTCTTCCTATGGAAGTTGACTTTATCATTATTAAGCCATTACCAGGATACAACTGTGACATGAAATCTTCGTTTTCTAAGTATTGGAAGCCAAGAATACCACTGGATGTTGGACACAGAGGTGCAGGGAATTCAACAACAACTGCCCAGTAGGTTGAATATTTGCATAGAATTGGCATTCAGTAGTTCATAAGGTTAGATTGGTTTGACCCACAAAAGGGTCAGATGATGCTTTTATTATCATCTGGGGAATTAAGTGTAATTTCACAATCAGGATTACCAATTCAAAATAATTAAAGCCCAACTCTAATCTCCTAAGATTCTGATTAGTCTTTGATATTATACTGAATTGATGATGAGAAAGACATTAGAACCACAAAGCCAGGAAGTAGAGCTTGCTCTTGAGAATCTGTGTCTTTCTTGATTTGGGCACATTGTCATTCTTTAAAATGGAAGGGTTTGGATGTTCCCTAGTGTTCTGCTCCTAGTTAAGCATCCATGACTTCAAGAAAGTTTAAGTAAACTCAGGGTGTGTTTATTTGTTCAGCCAACACCTCATCAGAAAGATGCCTCATCTCTTATCAACAAATTTCAGCCTGGTACAGTTGGTTGTTCCTTCTAGTTTTTTTTTTTTTTTTTAATATTTATTTTTTAGTTTTCAGTGGACACAACATCTTTGTTTGTATGTGGTGCTGAGGATCGAATCCGGGCCACACACATGCCAGGCGAGCGTGCTACCACTTGAGCCACATCCCCAGCCCCTCCTTCTAGTTTTGAGTTTTATTTATTTATAAGTACTCTAGCTTGTTGCCATTGGCTTTCTACTGGTAGTTTTAATTCCATTCCTTTTATTTTAAACTGCTGCTGCTGAGTGCTATGGCACATGCCTATAATTCCAGCTACACAGGAGGCTGAGGCAGGAGGAGCACAAGTTCAAAGCCAGTCTTAGTAAGACCCTGTCTCAAAAAATAAAAAGGGCTTTAGATGTGGCTCAGTGGTGAAACACCCCTGGGCTCAATCCCTGGCACCCCAAATAAATAAAGTGATGATGTGATAGCTTTAGGACTTGGGGTCATGATTATGATTAAGTCTATAAAACAAATCAACTACCATTTAAGAAAGAAGCATCCTTAGGCTCCATCAAAGTAAATTGTCTTCCCTTTTTTTCTTGTTCTTTAAATAAACTTTTCATACTTCTATCCTGTTGGTGTATCAGTGTTTCCCCCACAGTCTGGAGGTTTTATTTCAAATAACAAGTTTCTACGTCTCTTTTTTCATGACATTGAAAACAATTGTTTTCCTTAATTGGTTACCTTAACTTGTTCCAAGGGGGGGGGGGAATCCTTATTATAGGAGAAGTATATGTTGTGGTGTAGCATGTGTCTATATTTCAGCTTATAAGTATCTATAGTTGTTAGAGCTTTCATTTATAGAATAAATGTACACATTAGCCAAGTGTGGTTACAGTCCTTTTTTTTTTTTTTTCACAGTCATATTTTGGGGATAGCAAAATTAGCTTCAAAATAGAATAAATACTATTTCCATTGTTAAAAATACAGTTGAGGGCTGGGGATATGCTCAGTTGGTAGAGTGCTTGCCTTGCATGCACAAGACCCTGGGTTCAATCCCCAGCACCACAAAAAGACAAATAAAATATAGTTGACTTTTTTACATTTGTTTCTTTTTTTGTAGTTTGTGATAGCATGTTTCTTCTCTATTTCAGGCTGGCTAAAGTTCAAGAAAATACTATTGCTTCTTTAAGAAATGCTGCTAGTCATGTAAGTAACCTTTATTTCTTTAAATACTTTGGGCTATTCAGTTAGAAAACTGGCTCAGGGCGATCTCCTCCAGTCTACATTAGTATGTTAAAGAGGAATATTATGCTTGTTTTGAACATGTTTCTAAGTGAAGACTATGTCTTGGCATTATATTGCGATCCGTGGTAAAGATTGGGATGAGAACAATAAGATCATAAGCATCTTTTTTTCATCTAACAGATTTTGAGTTGTTTTCTTTAAAAAAATTTCCACTAAGCATGGATATTTACTATCTGAATGATGTATTTATTCAGGTATTCACTTTTTTTTAAAGGTCAAAACCAGATTGGAATATTTAATTGCTGAACAGTGTATGTGCAGCTGGTGCTATGTATGTAATAATACAAGGGGCAACTGCTTTCAGGTGACCACTGTATATACTAAGATTATAAATAGATGCGGGGTGAGTTTGAACCTACTGGCACAAGACCTTTTTTCTGAGATCTCAGTGGTTCTCTCCTCTACACTCCACTCTGGGGCCTGGGATCAAAGCAGCTGACCAGCAATATGGCATGAGGAGTTGGACAGGGCAGCTGTGACTTATGCCCTAAGAATGTGGTACACAGATTGTGTGTACCCCTGCAGGCTCTGTAAGCTCATCATGGTCCCTTGTATTCCCCTTTTTTTGGGGGGGGGGTACTGGCGATTCAACTCAGGGGCACTTAACCACTGAGCCACATTCCTAGCCCTGTTTTATATTTTATCTAGACACAAGATATTTCTGAGTTGCTTTAGGGACTTTGAACTTGGAATTAATCTTCCTGCCTCAGTTTCCTAAGACACTGGGATTATAGGCATGTGCTATTGCACCCAGCTGGTATTTACTTTTTAACCAGGTTATGTTACATTTCTTAACTCCTTTCCCAATCTGATTTTTATCACCTGCAGTTTGACATTTTTTAGTTGAGAACCTGGGGTTTCCTCCTTCACCCCTTCCTCTGTTCCTGACCAGAATGTCTCAGGTTCTGAAGTTAAACTAGGGGGAAATGGTGGAAGATCTTATTTTTGTATTTTCACTTGTTTCAGTGTCCTCCAGATCAATTAAACTTTGCCTTCTTAAAAATTGTTCAGCAAGTAATTGGGTGTTTATCACTTTTGTGAACCACCATATTTTCTGACAGATCTTTTCATATCTTAACCTCTCTGAAATTGGAATAGGTTTTACGGTTTATCTTTGAGTCATGGTTTAACTGGAAGCATCCTCACCAGTACTATAATAATGATACATTTTATAATTCATGGCATCCTAAATTAATTATAGTAGTTGTTTGATATTTAAAATTTTAGTAGTTTTATTTTTGTGTTAAAGATTATACTAATTGCTAGGTGTGGTAAGATGCCTGTAATCTTAGCAGTTCAATCCCAGTACCAAAATAAATAAATAAGTAAATATAGCCCTTATTTATGTCTATTGTGGTATATAGTTCATAATTTGGAACCAGTTTTATTTAACTGTAGCCAGCTAGTCTAAGTATCATTTAACTAACTAATGGTAAAAACGTGAATGACTGCTGTTTAAAGAATTTTCAAGGTCTCCATGCTTTTTTGGAAGGAAGATTTCATTTACCCTTCTATATTCTGACAAAATCCTTTATAACTTACATGGGTCACATTTGGTGATGTCTTATTTTAATTATTAATTGCTTATTAACTTGCTTTAATATTAAAAAACATAATTTTGAAGATGTTTTAATCTGTTATTATTTCTTAAAGCTCACGTGAATTTTGGGATTAGATTTTATCTCTCTTCTTGGGCGGACACAACATCTTCGTTTGTATGTGGTGCTGAGGATCGAACCTGGGCCGCACGCATGCTAGGTGAGTGCGCTACCGCTTGAGCCACATCCCCAGCCCTAGATTTTATCTCTTAGTAAAATTTTTCCCAGAAGGATGATATGTACAGCTATGTACCATTAAACATTTAAACTAGAGGGCTGGGGATGTGGCTCAAGCGGTAGCACGCTCACCTGGCATGCGTGCGGCCAGGGTTCGATCCTCAGCACCACGTACAAACGAAGATGTTGGGTCCGCCGAGAACTAAAAAATAAATATTAAAATTCTCTCTCTCTCTCTTAAAAAAAAAAAATTTTAACTAGAAAGATGTACAGTAAAGTGTTAAGTAGGTGTTACTATTTATGGTGGTAGGGTTTGTTCTGTTTGGTAGAAATGGTTTGTGTTTTAATAAGAAGTAGCTACATTTTCTGCTTTAGACATCAACAAGGAAGTAGACTTCATAGCCAAATTCTTAAGCTCTTTTGGTTGTAATCATATGTGCTGAGAAGATAGGTACCATTTCATGACTTAGACGCACTGTAGGAATGGAAATGTATCTAACCATTCTCAACACTTCTGTTGATCACAAGTCAGTAACATACAGAATTCTCAAATCTTGCTTCCTTTGATCCCAACTTTTGGTGAATGTACACATTTACATGTCAGTTTATGTTCTCAGTCTTTATCTGCATTAATTCAGAGGATTGAATGGATTTTTTTGGGTGATTGGACTCACCATATTGCCCAGGTGAGTCTCTAACTCACTGTCTTTCTGCCTCAGCCTCCAGAATAGCTGGGATCACAGGTGCTCACCAAGGCCAGCAAATCTGACTTTTAAAAAATATATTCTTAAATCTGCATTTGGGGTAAAATTGGGAGTTCATAACCCACTTCAATCTAATGTATGAAATATGATATGTCAAGAGCTTTGTAATGTTGTGAACAACCAAT